GTGGACATGCCGGAGGGCAGGGAACAGCTGCAAGCAGACCTGGACAGGTTGGACAAGTGGGCAGAAAACAACAGAATGCAGTTCAACAAGGAGAAATGCAAAGTGCTGCACCTAGGGAGGAAAAATGTCCAGCACACCTACAGCCTAGGGAATGACCTTCTGGGTGGCACGGAAGTGGAAAGGGATCTTGGAGTCCTAGTGGACTCTAAGATGAACATGAGTCGGCAGTGTGACGAAACCATCAGAAAAGCCAATGGCACTTTATCGTGTATCAGCAGATGCATGACGAATAGGTCCAAGGAGGTGATACTTCCCCTCTATCGGAGTCTGGTCAGACTGCAGTTGGAGTACTGCGTGCAATTCTGGGCGCCGCAATTCAAGAGGGATGCGGATAACCTGGAGAGGGTCCAGAGAAGGGCCACTCGTATGGTTAAGGGCTTGCAGCCCAAGCCCTACGAGGAGAGACTAGAGATCCTATTTAGATTGGACATTAGGAAGAACTTCTTCACAGTTAGAGTGGCCAAGGTCTGGAACGTGCTCCCAAGAGAGGTGGTGCTCTCCCCCACCCTGGGGGTCTTCAAGAGGAGGTTAGATAACCATCTAGCTGGGGTCATCTAGACCCAGCACTCTTTTCTGCCTATGCAGGGGGTCGGACTCGATGTTCTGTTGAGGTCCCTTCCGACCCTAACATCTATGAATCTATGAGTCATTAATGGAAATATAAAATTGGATCTGTCCCCAAAATTGATCTCTGAGGAACTCCAGTGACAACAGGATCAATTTGGCTGAGTCTCTGTGGTACAATGGATAGCATGTTAGACTTTTATAGTAAAATGTCATTCAAAGGTTGTGGGTTCAAGTCCCACCAGAGTCAAAATATTTTAAGGGTTTACAAGCCTACCCCTATGAGGATAAACTAAGGGATCTGGGCCTTTTCAGCCTCTGCAAGAGATGGCTGAGATGTGATCTTGTGGCCACCTACAAATTCATTATGGGGAAGCAGCAAGGAACCAGAGGTGCTCTGTTCACGAGGGTGCCTTTTGGGGGGACAAGGAGCAATAGTCACAAACTGACAGGGAGAAGATTTAGGCTAGATACCAGGAAAAACTTCTTCACAGTAAGGGTGGTCAAAACTTGGAATGGCTTCCAAGGGAGGTGGTGCTCTCTCCCACTTTGGGGGTCTTGAAGAGAAGGCTGGATAGGCATCTGGCATCTGCCCCCACCCCTCTTTCCTGCCCAGGGCAGGGGGTCAGACTCGATGATCTGTTGAGGTTCCTTCTGACCCCAGTATCGATTAATCTATCTATGAATTTCCCTCAGGCCTGATACTTCTGGTTACCTCAATAATAATTACCATCTCTTCTTTAGCCTGCTCTGTTTGGTGAAGAAATGTGTTTGCTATCAGAACCAGTGATACCTGGGCCTCACTATCCCTAGTAGCATTTCTTCTCCAGTCTTCTAGATCTAGAAAGTAAATGTTTCCCATAATTATAGATGCTCGAGTAGTATTTGCCTTTCTGATAGCACTATTTATCTCTATCCAGATTCCTGTCCAATGGTGGAAGGGCCAATAGGCAGGCCACCAGCACTTCTCCACTACAACTTGTTTTATTAACCTTCCCCAAAGTAGTTTTGACTTAAACAGATTCTATTTTTATCAGGGATTTTCCAGTTTTCCAATAGGGAACACTAGAATTCCTACTAGGGAGGCCAGTGGCAGGACCCAGGCTGAGGAGCCTGCTCAGACCTGGCACCTTGGACACAGCTGGAGGTGGCTGACCTCCTGGCCAATCGGGGCCAGGACATGCTTTGACAGTTCAAAGGAGGCCACCACACTGGGAACATCTTTCAGGTGATAGCTTCGCAGATGGCTGGGCAGGAGCACACATGGCAGTAGTGCCGCACAGAGGCCAACTGTGCAGCCACAGCCCACTGGCAGCTGGCCCAGAGGGGCAGATGCCTCTACTGGCTCTGCAGTCCCTATCCAGGTCTGGCAGGTGCACAGCAGGTCACAGCCAGGCAGCAGCCCCCAATGCCAGTCTGCTGCAGTGGGTAGAGGGTGTAGGCAACTCTCAGGGCTGCTTCAGCAATCCAGCTGGTGCAAGTGGCAGTGTCCCCAGGTACCAATTGGCTGGGCCCCAGAAGCTCCTGAGAGTGAGTAGCCCTGAGCTACTTGCCAGAGCAGCTTTTTGTACTGCTGGGACCAGGACAGGGCAGCTTTTATACTTCTGGGGACAGCACAGGTACTGGACCTGGGCTCAAGCTCCCCCTGGCTGCAGATCCAGAAAGAGCCAAGAAGGGTTATTTTTCCCCAAGTGGCACAATTTTCCCCACATCAAAGTGCATGTTTGGGTACATGCCCTGAGGAAAAAAAGCCCCGGCTCAAATTTGCATCACTTCTATTTGAGCTGCTGCAAGCTCATGTGCTAAGCTTTTACCAGTAGAATCACCACTCTCCCATTGGAAACTATGAGTGTACAGATCCTCATTCAATTTCGTCAGAAGGAAATATGCCCCATCCAGGAGAAAGATCTTCAAAGTATCAATCTAAAACATCTCTCCAGTGAGAGACTTTCACAAAAATGCACAAAAAAATAACAGATTTCCACTCTCTGTCTCCACCCAAGTACAGAGCAACTCAGCAAGAAGGGCCAATTCAGCAAGAAGGGTCTAAATACAGTGGAAATTGGCAGTAGTTACTTGACACAATAGTTGTATTTGAAACTATAGAGTAAAGTTTCATGGTGTGGGAGCCACTAGAAGGTCACCCTCCAAGAGTCAATCAGATTTCAGGAGTGGAAAATTTAGATATACAGACATTAAAGACTTCAGTTCAGAAGCAGAGATGTCTGGTGTGAAGGCTTTGGATACAGGTAAGTGCTATGATAGCCCTATTTGGAAAGGACCAATGTACTAGGAGAATGTCTCATTTACTGCAGCAGACACAGAAGGAGAGCAGTGAGGAGGGCAATTGTCAGTTCATGGAATTTGCAGGTAGGTCTTGGCTATCTGCTTTACACTTTTACAGGGAGAAGAGGTGCAGAACTAATTAAGGGGATGGTTTCTACATTCTGATCTGACTTAGGAGGTTTTACGGGGAATAGGTAGGGTTCCAATACCTGTACCACATTGGATGCAAGCTGCACACTTCTGCTTTCATCAATAGATCCTTTACAGTGTTGCTATCAGTGAAAATCCCAGACTACTTGCCTACTTGCTGATAGGGCTCAGAGGGGCTTGGCGGGGTGCGGGGAAGAAGAGATTGGGGTTTTTTTCTCAAGTTCTTATGAATCTGGAATAATGCATGGGACATATTATTGCCACAGCCATACAAACTAAGAAATCATATCTGTTGTGTTCAAAAGTGCTAAAGTATAATTTGAGGTTAATGTTATATAAATGTTTCATTGGAATCTTCTATCGAAATATATGTAACAGCAGCAAAGTGGAGTGACCATAAGAAACACCATTAAATGTACTCTCCAAAATGTTTTGTTTAGAACTTAGTCATCAGATGCCCATTACTATTTACTATGTTTTATAGTGTTTATAATGTTTTCTAAGAAACTGTATGGTACTCTCCATTTGGGAGTTGGCTTGAAATTATTAACACTTACATAGCATGGTTAAACCTCTGTGCTACAACTCTACCCAGTGCTTTTACATAGACATTGTTTTAAAATTCTTCAAAAGACTTGCTTAGTACAAATTGATTGAAGAATCACGATTTTAAACTCCCAACATCCTGTTTCAATGCTTAAGTTCATTGGGAAATTATACTTTTTCATTAAAACAACATTCTTCCTCTTGACCCCTTCCCACTTCTAGTTCTGGTTATTGTAACTGTCATTGGGCAATCTTGCAGACAGGCTAATAAGAGGCAAAGCTAACTAGCCTAGGCACAGTTTTAGTCCTTTGCACCTCACAAGAGGAAAATAATATATCTGTGTTCACAGGACACTGAGCCCAAGGTACTTGGCTTTGTCTCTCAAGACCCCTAATTAGTTTAGTCACCTTAACAGGGTGCTGAGAGGCAGAGCTAATTACCTGACCCAGGGACAATAGCACATGACTGCAGACTGCAATTCAACTGCTGGTTCCCAACCTGAAGACAATGTACCAGGCAACCCCTTTCAGCTTTCTCTCAGCTAATGCTGATCCAAGACCAATTTTTCAAATGTAAGGTGCAAATCCCTGTAACAGGAAACCCCAACCCTGATAACTGTAATTAGAGTGGGAGCAGGATTTGTGTAGCTCCCAGGAGCCAAAGGCTACAACAGCCAGCCCCAACAAGAACACAGACCCAGAGGCTGGGGCATGTTAAGGACCTTAGTGGGACAAGAACAGCCAAATCTTGTTAGACCATATAAAAGCAGATGAGCTAAGCTGCTGCAGACTTGGGGGCAGGTTTATTATCAAGCAAAGTAGAAACCTGTGTGTGTGGCTGCAGAGCAAGATGGCAGGGAGGGTTGGAGCTGTGGGGCACAGAAAACCAGAGCCTGAGAGCAAGCAAAGGGAGTCTGACACTGCAGGCAGCAGGAAGAGGATCTCTTAAAGGAGAGGACTGCAGGAGATGGACTGGTTGAAGTGGTTCCCTGTGGCTGCAAGGAGAAAGCCAAAGGGAACTTCAGGCATTCATTGAAGCAAGGAACCAAAGTGGGGTGACTCTTAGTTACACAGTAGTTTGCTTGTGTTTATGTTTTGGCAGTGCTTAAAACCAGAGGACCAGGTTGTGGCTTCAGCAGAGGAGGCCACAGGTGGGGTGCCTGAGAGGCACTCTCTGCTACTGGGGCTGAGACCCAGGAAGCTAGGAACTGAAGCAATGGATGGTCTGGGATGAGTCTCAGCCTTAAAAAAGAAGGCAGGCAGAAGCCCCTACAAGAGTCTTGGGTCCTAAGGGGCCCAGTTGATTCAGATGTAGAGGCCTGTTACAGAGGAACCACTGAAAGTCATCTGCAAGGCATGGGCATGACTGTAGGAGCAGCTAGAGGCTACAATTCTAGCCCCTAAGGTGACTAAAACCCTCTTAAAGAGGGAGTACACTCATGGGATGAGAAACAGAGGTAAAAGGCACCAAGCATCGGCCACCCCAGCTTTCATAAGCAGCCTCCCATTTATATATTTAAGAGTAAATTGTGGTAGGTAAGAGATAGGAGGCAGAGGAAACTGGGAAACATGAACAGGCGACTCCGGCCAAAAGGGGTCCAGGGTGGACAAATACCCAAGTCTGTCACCGTTCCATTTCAGGGAGTCCTCAGGGACAAAAAGACACAACCCTGAAATTCAAGACTGCCTCTTAGGTGTTCAAGGCATTGGAATGGTTACCTGCAGTTAATTATTCCATAGCTGCTTGTTACAAGCAGGGATCCTGGTTTTCTCTGATTTTAAAAAAGATCCCCAATTTTCAGATTAAAAAAATTAACACCAAATCCACATTTTTCCATGATTAAAATGAAACAACACCACTAGTATATAATGGTGTTTAATTTTAATCACAGAAAAATGTGGATTTTGGGGTTACTTTTTTAATCCAAAATTGGGTTTGTTTTGTTGTTGTTGGTTTTTTTTTAATTGGAGAAAACCAGGACCCCTGTTAATAAGGATCAATCCATATGGATAGGGCTCAGCCTGAAATAACACTTTTTGCCTGGGACGTGTTTCTCTTGTGCCACATAATATCACAAGAACGTCTCACATGCATAACAATCTGCGTAAGCTTCCAAGACATAGAAAACAGTCTAGGACGAAACCTTTTCTCCTCCCAGCTCTAACAACAATGTCACAGTGCTCAAATTTCTCCCCACTGTGCACTACGTCCCTATAGATAGATTATCTATGAGCTCCTCTCCTGCCATGCACAACCACAACATGTCT